CCCCCCCCCTCCATCTCTCAGAAGTGCATGGTCTCCAGAACTGGCTTCTGTCTAGAAGTGTGGTCAGTCCTGTTTCTTCCAACACGCTCCTCTGTGTCAACCTGAATGTGGCTCTTCCGTGGCCAGTTCAGGAGATTACAGACCTCTCCTCTGCAGGACCCAGTGCTTACTGGAAGCCATCTCAGCGTCTCATTCAGATCCCAAAAAAGTTTGGTAGCCCCAACTCATGTGCTCAGTCAGGATGTACAAGTCATGGGCTTCTGGTATAAAATGGATCCACAGCAGTAGAACCCACAGGCTGCCCCTGTTCAGTCTGCTGTGGTGGGAAAGGAGACAGGACCTATGATTCACAATGTCATTTCACTTCTCCTAGTAGGAGTCAACAGAAAGTGCAGTGTTCCTCATCTGTACAACATCCTGAATAGTGGGATGTCTTTTATAGGGAACCAAGATTTTCATCTCCAGTTACCTAGGAGGCTGTGACTTTGAATTTTACCGAGAGAGATTCCTTTATACCAGTTTATACTATTAGGTGAATGAAGAAGAATTACATTCTATTTGGAAGCATCTAGTCATTCCGTAATCAACTGAGTCCCTGCTATGGTCAATCTGCTGGATCTGGTGGCTGTGAATAAATACTCCCGGCGAGGAAGAGAGGTAGGAGGGAAAAAGTTTCTTTCAATCTGAGTTCTTGCAGGAAGGAAGATGCCCAGAGAAGCAAAAGACACAGAGAGGATATTGGGGTTGGTGGGGAACATAGCTTATTGAGGATTTAACAATTCTGTCGCCAACGGACCTTTTCTTCTCAAACCCTTTCCAGCCTGGAATTGAACAACCCAAGTCCCAGTTCCTAAGCAGATATCCTGGAAAAGGAAGGTGCCTATCCCTACAGGAGAGAAAGAGGAGCCAGAAATTGGATCCTGCCTCTGCTCTCAAAAGACAGCATCAAATGAGAGGACATTGCAGCTGCTACCCCAGCCCACTGTGCTAAGAGCCTGAAGAGATTCACCCAGCGTAGCAAGGGTTTATGTGGAAAGCCATGCCAGGCTTAGGGTGGACATCAGTGCTTGGGGAAGTGGTGCCATTCTTCAGAAGGCCTTTTAGGTTGGAGCTTAGATTAATACTAACAAACAGCACAGGACCTTACCTAGTGGAGTCCTGCCCTCTCAGATTGGGTAAGTGACTTGGCCAAGTTCTCACAGCCAGACCAAGACAAGCCCTTCCTTCCCAGTGGTGGCTGCGGAAAGATAAATCTTGCCAATCAGAGGCCAAGATGGCAGTGGGGTGGCCCAGGAAGGAGGGCAGCGCATCAGGAGGGGAGAAAGGTGCTGTGTTCTCAGCAGTGGAGTTGGCCTTTTTGTGGGGATCCGGTTTCGGAGGACTTACTCTTCCCTTGTTAACTCTCTCACACTCTTTCTCTGGCCTGGCCTGGGGTGGATTCGCGGGGTGGGCGGGAAGGCGCGCGCCCCTACAGCTTCTAAGTCTCCTCTTCCCGGAGCCGAAGGCATCCAGCACCTCCTCCTGGCGCCCCCAGTCTAACCTCCCCCCCC